AATTGTCCGAAGACAACAAAAATCATCGGCGTGACACTGCACTCACTTTGCTTTCAAAGGTCCGGAAAAAGATTTTCTGCACAAAATCATTACAGGCGATGAAAAATGGATTCTTTATGATAACCCTAAACGTAGAAAATCATGGGTTAATCCTTCGACATCGACGCCAAAATCCAATATCCACGCCAAGAAGGTTTTGCTCTGTATCTGGTGGGATTGGAAAGGTGTGTTGTATTACGAGTTGTTACAACCGGGTGAAACAATCACGGCAGACCGCTACCAACAACAATTGACCAATTTGAGCGATGCATTAGAAGAAAAGAGGCCATTTACTGGCCAAGGACGTCGTAAAGTGATCTTGCTTCATGACAATGCTCGACCATATGTTGCGAAAGCGACTCAGGACCATTTTTTAGGTTGGGAACTTCTCCCGCACGCGGCATATAGCCCAGACATGGCGCCTTCTGATTACTACCTATTCCGGTCGCTGCAGCATCATTTGGCTGATACACATTTCGTGAAATTTGAAGAGATACGAAAATGCATTGATGACTTTATCGCTTCGAAGCTGGTGAGCTTCTATCGTCAAGGAATTCGCAAGCTACCCGAAAGATGGCAAAAGGTCGTTGATGCAAACGGGGAATATTTCGCTGATTAATATTTTTTTATTTGTTTTTGAATAAAGATTGAATTTTACAAAAAAAAGCTCAGAACTTTTTTGTACACCTAATACAATGCTGATGCGCAGGTGAGATTCACACTTTATTGACATCGCCAGAATATCTTTGAGATCATAATCAGAATATTATAGAACGCTTCCAGAATATTACAGAATATTTCTAAGATCATCATCAGATTATTAAAGCACGTTTCCAGAATGTTATAGAATGTCTTCAGAATATTGCTACGTACGAGCATAAAATATTTTGCTAATATTGCCAAAATATCTCTACAATTATTATCAGAATATTAAAGAACGTTTCCAGAATGTTACAGAATGTCTTCAGAATATTGCCAACTGCGGACATAAGATATTCTGCTATATAATATTACTAGAACGCTTTTGAGATCATCATTAGAATGTTTCAGATTTCGAATGTAATATTTTGGTGATATTCTAATAACATTCGGTGCTGTGTGGGATAATACTATTATACTATTGTTACACTATAATATTTTTAATTTTTTGATACACAATTGCCAAAACGATCCTCTGTGAAATTAATACAATGACAGCTATTCACAAAGTTAGCGCAGCGAGAGAATCCATTGCGGAAAAGCGTCAACAATAAATTTCGAGGAAATTTCGAAAGATGCAAGTGTCATGCTTTTTTTTAGAAAGGATTATTATATATATTTATTATTATTATAAACAAACTTTATTACAATATAAAATAAAATTTTAGTAAAAATGGACATCTATCCATTTTTTATATTGATTTATCACAATTAATTAATTTATCACTATATTTTGCAATTTTAGTATCTCTAGTATTTAATAATATTGTCGCGTTCGCGGCGTTACTTCCCGTGATCGCGATACTCGGCGGAGCGCTCTCGGAAAGAAAGAACACTGTTTTAGGAAAGACTCGCTCTTTATTAAATCAACGGTACAGAAACGCGTCCGGCCACCGCAGAATCTGGCCGTGAAATCTGAAAAACAGTCGGAGAACGACGCGTTGCCAAGGGCCGATCCTCTATTCAAACTCTTATCGATTGATATTGATTATCTTTTAGCAGCGCCGAACGGAATACCGCACGGCCGCAACACTGCCCCCCTCTTCGTAAAATTGTCGTCCCGACAATTCTTCCTCTTTCAAGAACTTCCTCTTAGGAAAAGACTTTTGGGCTCCTGGCGACTTCCTGCCCTACCTGGGCTGCTGCCTCAGGTTACCGGGCGCCGCTACTTCCAATCCCAGTCTTCTCTACTCTTCAGAAGAATCTTGTTCTTGAAATTCTCGCGCGTTTCACTCTTGACTCTTCGTCTTGAGCTTTGCGCACTTCTCTCTTCTATTTTCGGGCAAAGTGGGGGTAATCGTCGTGGACCCTTTCGTCTTTCTAAAAGACACACTAAGCCCCTGCCTCGGCATTCGCCCATCGTCCCCCGGAAAAACCTCGACTCGGAAAACCGGGGGCGAAGCAGATTTCATTTCAGTTTGAAGCACGAGCTTGAAGATCTTGCTTGGTGCTCAGGCTCGAGGATCTCCCCACGACGCTTCTCACGACGGAAGGAAGCTTAAAGAAAATAAACAGAACACAGTAACTCAAAACAATTAACAAGAAATAAAAGTAATGTCGAAATTGGAAAACCGGGCCCCGAAAAATCTCTACTTAAAATTCTTCCCTTTCTCTATACGGAGCTAACCTGTCGGCATGCACAACCTTGCTTTTCCGACCACCTGAACGAAAAATACAGAAAACTACATCACTAATTTTCTTAATTATCTCAAAAGGCCCCTCCCAATCGTTCTGTAGTTTGGGAGACCTACCCTTCTTACGATGAGGATTAAATAACCAAACCTTCTGTCCTTCCTCAAAAACGGGATGCCTAGCCTTTCGATCATAGCGGCACTTGATCTTCAAAGACCTTGATTCTAATCTCTCTCTTACTCTCTGATGAATTTCATCCAGCTTCTGCCGCAAATTTCGAACGTACTCTTCCGCTGACTCGGAAAAACCTACATAATGGGAGGAGTACCTCTTAGCAAATCCATCGGCAAGGTAAGATCTCTTCCGCAAAATAATTCTGAAGGAGTTACGCCTGTAGCCTCATGTTTAGAGGTCCTATAGGCAAGAAGAAACATGGGAATCCAACGATCCCAATCCTTTTGATTCTCTTCAATAAACTTTGACAAATACTGTAAAATCGTCTGATGTTGTCTTTCAACTTGACCATCAGACTGAGGATGAAGAGCGGTCGTCCTCGTTTTCCTAATTCCCAAAATTCTCATCAATTCTTGAAAGAGCTGTGATTCAAAATTCCTTCCCTGATCAGTATGAAGTTCCAACGGGACCCCATATCTAGAAACAACCTGATTAACAAAAATTTCCGCTACCGTAGTAGCTCTCATATTTTTCAAAGGAAAAGCTTCTACCCATTTAGTAAAACAATCAACAACAACTAGGAGATACTTGTTGCCTGAAGAAGAAACAGGTAATGGACCTAAAATATCCATCTGAATCCTCTCAAAAGGAGCTCCCGAATTAAAGATTTGCAAAGGAGATTTCCCCTTATCTGCAGCTCCCCTCTTCGCAATACAAATCTTACAGGTTCTGCACCATTCCTCAACATCCTTCTTACAGGTTGCCCAATAAAAACGTTTCCGGATCTTTTCCAGCGTTTTATTGATCCCGAAATGCCCTCCAGAAGGAGTATCATGAGCTTCTTCTAAAATCTGCTTCACTTTGCTTCGCGGGACCATCAACTGAAGAAAACTGTTTTTTAAATTAGGAGCCTCCCATCTCTTATGCAAAATCCCATTTTGGACTTCCAAGGCATGCCATTGATGCCAATAGATCTTGGCTGACAATCCTTTCAAAGAAACTTCCTCCCAAGAAGGTCGCAAATCATTTTCATGGCAAGTAAAAACATTGCCAATTCCTGATCCTCTATTTGAGCCCTTCGCCAATCCTCAGAAGAATCCTCACGCAAAACAATACGAGCAACTACTTTATCCTCAAAAAGCCCTCTCTGAACTTCCACTTTAGAACAGAATCTACATTTTCTTCTACACAAGGGCGTCTCGAAAGACCATCGGCATTACCATGTATAA